CGCAGTGACCCGTCCCCCGTGGCCCGGCCCCACTCACTTCTCCGTCACGTACAGCACCCCGTTCCGGATGTAGTCTGTGGGCATCTTCCGGTCTCTGTTGATCAGGCAGCAGCGCCAGCCGTTCTCACACACTGAGGGGCACACGGACCGCGGTTCCCACCAAAACGCCCCCGCGGGACCCACAGCAACGGGTGTCCCCACCACGCCATCCACGCGGGGTGTGCACTGAGGGTCCTTCCCCAGGTGAGTACGCAGGGCGTTTGTTTTTTTAAAGGAAAAGGAGCCGGCCAGTGTAGCTCAGTGGTTGAGCATCGACCCAGGAACCAGGAGGTCACAGTCGGGGCACGTGCCCGGGCTGTGGGCTCCATCCCCAGGGTGGGGCGTGCAGGAGGCAGCCAACCAGCGGTTCTCTCATTGTTGACCTTTCTCTCTCTCCCTCTCCCTCCCCCTTCCTCTCTGAAATCAATCAACGTATTTTTTCTTTTTTTAAGAAAAGGAAAGGCGCTGGTTAAACAACTAAATAAGCGAAATGAAACAGGCTCAGAGGCCCAGGCTCATGGTCAAGGTCAGCAGGACGAGGGTCCAGTCAATACTGACACCTTCCCAGGTCCCCTTTCCCAGTGGGATCGCACCACCGATGCCAGACATGCGAGGAGCCCAGTCCCCCAAGCGCCCAGCAGTTTAGGGGTTTTATGGGAGACCTTCCTAGGGGGCGGACAGGGATCTGGGCCTCCGTATCAGACGGGCATGGCCTGTGGTGCCCGGGCTGGACCTCAGAGCATTGCCTGCCTATGCCAGGGAGCTGCCAGCAGTGCCAACCCAGTGGGGCATGGCTCGCAGCCGGCCCTGCCAAATTCCCGCTGGGCAACCAACCGTTTACCGCACAGGGACCCCCGGCACTGGGCCTGGGCCGGGCCACCTGCTCCTCCCGCTGCGGCCCAGGAAGTCTGCATACGAGGGGGCAGCCCTCCATCGCCCCCACCCAGGGTGGGGCCCCCCA